TCTCAATATTTTTATGTATTTTTCCATTAGTTTTACCTTTGAATATTGTTTAAGAATGACTATATAAATATTTACATGCCTAGAAATGTATAAAAATTGGCATATTTATTAACTTCGAATCCCTATAACTTTTTATGGGGGTGAGACCGTCATGAACTTTTTATGGTACAGTGGTGGGGGAGACCTCCTCTTTCGATCCCCCCATCCCCATCCCCGAAAGAAAATTGCGTTATCTCTCTGGATGATTGTTTAATATTCTGAATGAGCGAACAAATGTCGGTTATGGAACTACAAACGCGGCCTGTTCACAACTCAATTGATTTTCCTTGTGCCAAATTGAATGGATGTAGTCTTGTGAACGCGTGTTTACGTGGCCTATATTGCATTCGAAGTTCCTGGTACAGAATCGGTAGCAACATCGACAACAGCTAGTGCTGGTCCACCTACGTATACCTACATTAAACTGTAGAATGGTAGGTAGGCAGCAGGTAGCTTGTGGCCGGGGCAACAGAATTGCAACAGGCATTACCAGAGGCGTTATCATGAAACTTATGTGAGAGTCAAGGATCAAAATTAAAGAAAAAGGAAAACCATAAGGTATCATCGTATCAAGTAGGAGGTACTGATGACTACATGTTGATGCAAAGTATAGTGGGAAGATATGATAGAAGATCATTAGGAATCGAATGAAATATTGAAGATGAAGATAGCAAAATGAAAAAAATTACATGAAAATTTGGATAAACTAAGCAAAGCTGGAGCCCGGAGTAGAACCGGTGTCATCCCGAATGCTAAGCTAGATAGTGTTGATGTAGTAAGTCTCATGTAGCTACTGAGCTTTGGTTTAAAGGGTTACAGAGAAATTGAGAATAAAAACGAATGATTGTTTTTGGAGTGTGTGATACAAAATTTGTTCATTATCTTCATAATATGTGGAGGGTGTAGTTCGAAGAGTGGTTGACAATTCTTTTCTACCCTGAGCCAATCTTCGCATTTTTTTAAGACAAGAGCCTCTGACATCTCTAGCAATCTTCTAATAATAAGTCTTTAATTAGCCCTTCGTCTCTCAGAATGTGCCCTAGCATATTTCGTCAGCTTAACTTCCCATGCGTCAAAAATCTTAACTAGAATTGTACAGAGTAGGATGGAAAAAAGGGCGGAAGAACTGTAAGCAAGATAAGTTGCTAGGACACCATCTCAGGCATGAAGGTCTAGTCAGAGACATGTTAGAGGCAGAAACAGGAGTTAGGAGGGGTAGAGGTAGACCTACATTAGATTACTGTTCGCAAATAGTTAAGGATGTGGGATGTTCTAGTTTTAGGGAAATGCAAAGTTTAGCTCGAGATAGGAAAGAGTGGAGGTACGTGTCCAACCAGTCTTAGGACTGACGACCTTATGATGATGATGATGACAGTTATTGTTTCTTCCAAAGAAAATAATGGAATAAAAAGGTTTAGTTATTTTTAATAATTTATTTTTGTATCAACAAAAGTACATTTATGGATTTTTAATAATAAATTCGATGACACGGTAATATAATAAGTATATATATGTACATGTTTTAATAATAATCACTTAATAATATAATAGAATAAAGCTAAATCGTTCTTTTAAAAGGACAAGTTAACATGAATAGATTGTTTTTAATATTTGTACAAAACAGCTAGAAGCTCGAATAAGAAAAGCAAAAGCTACTCAATCGAAAAATTTTGCATGATTTATTTACATTATCTGTTGAAAAAGTACATTAAATGTATGTACCAATTGATATAGAAAAGAGATAAAACATTTTATTATTGATGTATACATTTCAATTTTTTAATATTTAGTAATAAGGCTGAGGATCAATTGCTTAGTGAAAGACTAAGGTACGTGGCAAATTCGAATTGATTTTTTTTTTTAGAATAAGTGGATCATATTAATTAATTTTAAACTGGAATTAACATTCCAGGCGACTAGTAGATTGCAATGTTACAAATCCTTGTTTTTTTCCCTCTTATAAAATCTAATCCTTTACTGAATCGCTATTGAGAAATTTTGATTTAGAATACTAGGCATCTACATAATAAATACGATATTTGTTGCATGGTGTAAGAAAAGGAAATTGTTTACGATTATTTAAATATGTACTAAAATGTGCTTTTTATTTTTCTTAGTAATTTTTTCTCTAGCACAAAATTAAAGCACTTGAAGCGTACTTAGAAAAAAAGTGTAACTAGTTATTTTATTACTATTATTATTATAGATTCCCTATTACGTTGAGAATACTGCAAGTGTTTATAAATAGGTATGTCAAAAATTAATTCTAATAATTACAAAGGGTAATTACACTCATACAGAAACAATTGGAAACATGTACAGAGTGTTTCAGTAATAATATGTATCTTAAGGTTACATCTGGTCTCATTTTATTGTTAATAATTTAACGTTTGTAATTGAAAAAAGTGATAGTAAGTAAATGAGTTACCTGATGAATTTTGAGAAGCAAATGAGTTTAACGCGGCGAGCTGCAAGAGATTCTCGGATTAAAAATATTAATAACAAATATAGAATAAGAAACGTTATTTATTAATTGATTTAATAGTCGGTGATGTTTTGTGCAAAAGTTGAAACATCCTGTACAGGTTGTTATTGACTTAATGTTACGTCTTAATTTTAATGACTAGAATTACTTAAAAATTGCACTCTTTTATAATGGATATAAACTAATTGGTTCAAGCTTATCCAGTCGTTTAATCACAGTGTACCTCTATGTGCAGTCAGCTTCATCAAATACAAAGCTTTTGCCATGGAAACTATACAGGCTTTGAATACATTACATTGTTTATTATATTAATAATAATAATAATTGATAATTAATATTAACCCGCGTTTATAATAGACACAAACAAAAACGTTAGCATGCGTACGAATTGTCTAACTATTATATGAGGAATGTTTTATTTATACTTTTATGCAGTTAAATAATCCTGACAATTCTACTAATTAAGTATAAATTACCAGTAACATCCCGAACAATATAAAAAATCTAGTAATTACTTACATCACTCAAACGCAGGTAATATGTTCACTTATTAAGATTAAGGAAGGTACTTCAGCGGAATTATTGTTTAGTGATTTTTTTGTTAATTCTAAGTCTAATTGTCATTAACATCGTCCTTTTAAGACCATTCTGTTACTTTCGGATTAGCAACTGCTAAATTATCGAGCACCGGCGAGATTACCGTGCAAGCTGCGAACAACGGCAAAAACTTACGAGTTCTCCACTAGCAGCAACGAGTTTTCGGCGAGATTACCGAGCAAGCTGCGAGCAGCGGCAAAAACTTGCTAGCTCGCCACTAGCAGCAGCGAGTTTTCGGCGAGATTACCGAGCAAGCAGCTACAAAAACTTGCGAGCTCGCCACTAGCAGCAGCGAGTTTTTGGTGAGATTACCTAGCAAGCTGCGAGCAGCGGCAAAAACTTACGAGCTCGCCGCAAGCAGCAGCGACTTTTTGTAACACTTGACAATAATTCCGCTAATGTGTAAGGCGATCTTAAGAAAAGTGTAATAAAATAATGTTCCTGTCTTTAGCATGATGATTGGTGTAAGAAATGATGAGCTTACGGAGAAGATAAAAGACCAATACAACATGAAAGAAACTTTGTGCTTAAATAATATAAATTAATAATAATTATATCTCATAAATTTATNAACATCTCGTCGATATTTTCAGTAGTAATCGATACCAATAACAGCACATTTGAGCATTGCAATTGTAGTGGATCAAATGGTCAATTATTCCGTGCAGTACTGTACGGATTATACGCTCCTCACCGGTTAAGAGTTGTCTCCTTCCTTTTCTGGCCTAGTGCTGTTCTTTTCTACTTTGCGCCGGTCAAACTGAAGGTCACATCGCTACAGAAAATAAACGAAGTGTAGTTGTTTTTATTTTGAAATAATAACGTACAGGTGTACCTGTTGCTGTTAAATGGAATAATGGACGGAAAACGACATGGTTTAGAGGGAACGTGGTTGATACTTTGATGGGTCGAGGTTCTGTGATAGTATACTTGGTAGATTATGGGGCAACAATTAATGTTAATGTAACAGCTGTACGAAGATTACTGGAGAATTTTCTACCTATGGAATGTCAGGTAATATTCTTTTCCATTTTTTTCTGCAGCTTCTCCAGGATTCGTGGTGCATGTTTAACCCCTGTTTTAGGCCATTAAAACAAAACTTGCACACATTCACGTGATGCACTTAGAGCAATGCATGAATATACTTCAGAAATACATAATGTCCGAAACAAAACTTAAAATGGTAGTTAAAAACCCTGAAGAGATAGAGGTGCTGCTTTTTGAGGTCTTTCCAACTTATGATTTATGCATAAACGCCCTTTTAGTGCAAGAGGGTGCTGCCATTTCCACTGGGCACCTGTGAGTGCATGCAAGCAACGTTTTTGCATTCCCCTGACTAATATTTTTTTATTTAGATCACAAAAAGTGCAGTGGACCAAGGAAGTTGTCAAAAAACAGTCACAACCAGCGTTCACGTTAGACTTGATGAAAACAATTCAGGGTAGAAACACATCGAACGAATACCCGAGTAAATCAAGTCCGCCATGTGAAGAAGGAGGCATCAAGAAACCTGTTAAGGTTTTACTAGCTGAAAGCCCAGACCTCATATACGTCTCCCTGGAAGACGACAACATTAAGGAATATCAAAGTAGTTTGCATATTTTGCTACAAGAATATTATCCCGCCGATTCCAAACAGAAAACAAACTGGGAACTTGAAGATCTATGTGTCGTATACAATGAACATAGTAAAACTTTTAATAGAGCCATTATAAAGGAAATAGAAGGCGAAAAGATCAAGGTGTTCCTCTGCGATGGTGGCAAGCATATTACAGTCAGTCCCAAAGACGTGTACACTTTGGATGACAAGTTTAAAAGAACTCCTAACGGGGCTATTCGGTGTCATATGTCAGGAATCACACCTGCTGGTGACCCGAATAAATGGTCCCGAATGGCCGTCGAATACTTAACGGAATTAGTCGCAAAAGAGAAGAATTTTTTCATCAGTAAGAGCGGAGAGACTGATCTCACTAACAAATCGTTAGCCATCACCTTATGGTTTCAAGAAATAACCCAGGCAGGTCCTCTGGAACCATCAAAGGCCGTCTTACATTCGATCAATAATTTACTAATCGTAAACGGTCTAGCATTGAAATGCAAAAAGGAACCTGCCCAAACCCAGCAAGTTACTGATAAAGATACAAAAGTTCCACAGGAAGTACAAAATGCGATGCAGCAAGTCTTGAATCGTTTCAATGAGGAAAGCGAAGGAAGAAATAATGTTGAAATAAAACAAAACGTTGAAAAGGATTATAAAAAAAATAAACACTCTAAACGTGGAAGGAACTCCAATAAGAAGAAGAATCTCCAGTCACGTAAAAAAGAGGGAAAACTCCATGGGACCATTAAACAACAGAGAGAGGAAGAAGTAATTACCTCAGATTCTGACGCTAAATCTTCCAACTTGAAAAGCACGATCATCTCTAAGTCACAAGATAACATTTCTGTTGCTCCAGAAGAAAAAGCGCTTCCTCATCCTCAAACGTCCTTGTCTGAAAACAACACCCCAATTTGTCAAAAGAAGAACAACGAAAAAGAAGCAGCAGATTGGAATGCAATGATCGAGTCACAAGAAAAAATGATTCAGCTGGAACTGGAAGACACAGCATCTTCATCTTCTGTAGAACCAGAAAACAAAATCGAAGACGACATCCATGGATCTTCACTTCCTGTCCCAGTTGAGTCAGTTCCATCAGATTGGTTGCCTCCACTTGAATTTTCGAAAACTTCGTTCACTGCAATCGCAACTTTCGTAGATAACAATGCTCACATTTATCTTCACGAATTAGAAATCGAACCCGTACTTAAAAAAATGGAGATCGAAATGAAAAAGGTCTTCAATAACTGTTCTCCTGAACCTTCGGGAACCGTGTGGTTTGTCGGCCAAATGTGCACGGTCAAGTACTTCATGAATAACAGCTGGTATCGAGGCAAAATAATTAACATTACAGGTAAGTCAAGTGTTACAATAATCAGTGGCATTTGAAAGTTCAAATCGTTTTTCAGACGACTCCATAAAGGTACGTATGATAGATTATGGAAACGAAGAAGATTGCAAACATGAAGATTTACGATCAAAGGTAATGTTCCCTGACATTCCTGCAATAGCTTCGAAAGTTTGTTTGTACAACGTATTTGCAAAAAGCGTTTGGCTTACTTCTGATCTAGATTTTTTGCACAGTACAATAGTCGATAAACAGGTAACGGTAGTCCTTAAAGGGAATTCCAGGAAGAAGAACAGGACCGTTCCAGCAGTACTTTTTGTCGACTTGCAGAACGTAAATGATTACATGTTGGAACAATGCTCGAACTTGACCAGTAGGAGGTTTAAAAAGAATCAAAATCAAACAGAAGACAAGGACAACGATGATGAAGACGTTATCATTGTAAGAGAGCATTCGTGTGATGAATCTTCTGGTAAAGATTCGGTCATTAATGCGAGAAAATTCACTTCTGCACCATTGCCTGCTGCTAGTGACGATACTGTAGAAGCAGCAATCATCAGTGTGATTGATTACAATAAAATAATCATTGAATTTTCTTCTGATAATGACGAACAAAGGTTCTCCGAGATATCTCATGAAATGGAGCTCCAGGGGGACAAGCAGCCTCCATTAAAACATTTCTATCTGGATGCAGCATGTATCGCGAAATTTAGTGAGGATGATACGTGGTATCGGGCTCAGATATATTCTTTGGACTTGCTAGAAAGTGGTTTTGTATACGTGTGGTTCGTGGACTTCGGCAATTTTGATACCGTGTCAATTGAAAATGTGAAAGAAATTAAATTGGAATGGTTGGATTTTCCCTTGCAGCATTTCATAGCCGGATTACACGGGGTGGAATTATCTCGAGACGGTGACGATGATCTAATGTGCAGAGTAATCGATAAGCTTTCGGAAAATATACAAACGATGAAGAAAATCGAGATTATTAGAAGAAGCCCTCTCAGAGTGAACGTATTCGATTTGGATGCTAACAGACTGATGTATCAAGATTTAATTGACAGTGGCGATTTCGTTTACGAAGTGTGAATATGTTTTTATTTAATGTTTAAAAAGGATATCTATCGTTTTTTTTTGTGTCGAAAGACGTACGCTTTAATTTAGACCGCGTTACTGAAAATTATTTTTATTTTCTACCCCGTTTTCCTTTTTGATGTATCAATACGGTTAAGTAAGCAAATGAATATATACTTAATTAAAATGTTGTTCTCTTCTTTATATTATTTTTTGCATGTGATTATTTTAGATACCTACATTCTGTGTATGTTAATATAAAAGTTTATTGTGAAGTTTTATTTTTTTTTTTGGGGCACTACAGTGCATCACAACGCAAGGGGTGTAAAAGGTGTGCACAAATAGTGCCCCATCTAACGAGTCGTCAATGGTTGAGAAGTTTGGCAGCTGCGTTATTTTATCGTGCTCAGTTATTGTAAGCGTCAACTGACGAAACACGCATACCTATTCGTGACCTTCGCAACGGCTGGTACGTAGACGGGCCAATTGTACGTAACGGTTAGTAATGATCCGCGCTCGCGTATGGGCAAGACCTTGTCAGTTCGCGTCACTGACGTGCGGTAGCAGCAGTAGGTAAGTAAAGTTAAATCGAACACTTGGAAAGTTTTCCTTGTGTACCTATAGTGTGCATTGTTTAAATTATGTTTTAGATAATTATTGTTTTAATTGTCTAGTCTAATCTAGTCCAAGCTAGATTTAATTTGAACAGTAAAGGCCAGGCGATATACGCCACAACTACTTTATTACTTTGTTTTTTACTTTTTTTAGTGGTTTAGGTTTTGATCTTGTTTACAAATCTCATAGAAAAAAAACAAATAATTAATTAATAATTTTTATTTCCAAATTAGTTTTTTTTTTAATTTGTACCAAAACACTGAATGTTTTTTAATCACACGTTCGTCAACCCTCTAACTATATATATATTCCGTTATCCATTTTTTTGGAATTCAACTTTTAGTGAAAAATCAATCTGTTTGATAGGTGCCTACCTACAAAATAAATGTGTCACTTACAAGTAGGCCAAATAGAATAAGTTTTAGTATGTTAAGTAAACTGTCATTCTGACACTTCCCCAAGATTAGAAAAATTGGCTTCCTTCTCATGGTATCTTCATGGGTACTAACGGTTCCTCGTGATTTGTAAATTTATTCATTTGTAGGAACAAAATATTGGTAACGATGAAGATATAAATTTTAATAAAACTATTAGCTTGCCGAAGAAGATTCCGTCTAAGAGTCGTTTTTTTTCTAATCATTTCTACCTTTCACATCCAGAAATGACGAAAACAACCAACTCTCAAAACTTAAAAGAATCATTAAAAAATATCTCGCTGGCTGGTTTGGAAGCTGATTTTAATTCAAAATTGAAAACGAGTATTTCTTTTATAAGCAATGAATTATCGTATAAATCACAGTCTCCAAGAAATTATCAAAAAGAGAATATTTGTACACAAACCAGCAAAACAATTTTAGAACTTGCCAAATTAGAAAACGACGGAATGTCTCCCGACAGTTTGAATAACTCCCCAAAGCATAATCAAACGGGACCGGAAGCAAATATTGTTAACAAAGAACCAGTTATTGATCAAGCTGATAAAGGGGACCATGAATCCATTGTAAATAAAGAAAGTACAGTTGCGTTTGCAAGGAAGGGTTACATTACCAGATGTACTCATAAAGGGGCGGAAGTCCAGGTACAAACGGTCGAAACGTCGCAAAATCCAATTGTGAAATATTCATTGACAGAACAGTTCCTTTCGAAAAAGAAAAGTCTGACTAACAAATCCATCACGAGCACTTCCGAACATCGATCTCAGTTTCTACAGCAAACTTCCCCATTGCGTAATTTAGTTACATCCAACACTACAATGGCTCCAAATAAAACGATTATACCCTTTAACAAAGACTTTAGAAGTCAGTCTTTCGTTGAGCCTAGCGGTATTCCGAATTATATCGGCGACGAGTCTCGTTTTGTGGAACGTCCCCAAGCGTCCAGGTTTACAATCAAAAGGATAAAGGAACGCCGACCTAGTGGCGAAAGATCGCGACATTTTAAATTCCGGAGCAGTTCAAATAAGGGTGGAAGTGGTAAGTAATTATGTACATAAACTTTATTGAAACAACAAGTTATTCTACAGGCTATACAAAAGAATTCAATTTTCTGACAATTTAAAAAAAAAATACATAACTGCTCCCCTCCCCTCCCCTTCTACTAAATTCCAACCCCATTTCTCTTCTATGCATAATATCCATCCCGTCCCTATAAAAGACTCTATATTAGGCCAACAAAAGCGAAAGGCGAAAGAAAGATAAAAACAAAACTGTTATAGTCTCCTCTTTCTTTATATTTTCTTTAATAAGCTCAAACACCTCCACACATACTTCTATGGTCCTTCTGCCTTCACATCCCTTCAGCACGTGCCCTAGGTATTCTGCCTCCCTATCACAAACTAATACCTCCTGTTCCATCTCTCTGAGCCAGTATTTGCACCCTCTACACTCATTCTTTGTTCTCACTCTAGCCAAGACATTGATACTCTTTCTAAATAACTTGGAGTCCCCTTGCCAATGTCTCCCTGAGAACTCCCTCAGTCCCCTATTTTTCTTAACTCATTTTCCCTTATTATTTCTCTACATCTCATTCTCACCATTTTCCATCTTAATAAGTAATTGTGTTCATTAGAATACTAACCAAGAAATCTTTAGAATTTTATCCCTTTACCTGATACGATACATGTCTGTGAAGATCCCCCGGGGTTACAAAAATTTAGTTTATTTTAGGTAATCGTACTAGAAATACTTCCCCTAATGATCGTACTAAGAAATCGTCAAATTTCATGGCTCCTACATTAGCGAGTGAACAAAAAAATCGACTTCCAGAAGTTCGAACTTTTACAAATTTGATACCATCTCCAAGAAGGGGTCGAACATTAAGTCCTAAAAGGTTAGCCGCCGAAGTGATTGAAAGAATTCATAATTTGCCTTTACAAAAGGTCCCTTATATAGATCAGCGTTTTGGGACCGATTCTAGTCGGAAATCATCGGAAAAATTGATCGCGAAACCAGAATGCAGTGATTTTAATGCCAGTAATACCGATGTCGATGGCAAAACCTCTCAGGTAAAATTGAGATACACTCGTTCAAATCAATTTTCGTCTGTTGTGTACATTGTTTTGTAGGAGACTCTAGTGTCTACTAGTAAAAACGTGGATTCGTGTTCTATTTCTTCTTCTGAACACGCCATTAACATTGCTATATCGCATATTCGCAGTTCTGATTGGTACTTTTTAACATTTAATTAAAAAAAAATGTTCTAAAATCTACTAACAAAATTTATAATATCATATCATAGGTGTACAGCTCTGAAAGGTTTAGCAGAGTTAACAGAACTTTGTAAATGCGTGGATCTTGAGAATATTTACTCGCACATGCCTGTAATTAATCAAAGACTTATTGAATTACTCCGTAGTCCTCGATCGCATGTTTGTCGTACGGCGTGTCAAGCTGCAGGACATTTTTTCGAATTTGTGAAAGATACTCGACGCCCTGTAGGTCCTTCTTTTTCTTTTATAAACAATTGCATCCTTATTTCAAACCGATTGTTTTAGGAATTTGACGATATAGTGAACATTTTGTTGTTTAAAACTGCCGACACCAATAAATTTATTAGAAAAGATGCAAATTTAGCTCTGGACTGTATGGTAACCCACATTCCCGCTTTTCATGCAATTAGGGTGTTGAGTGATAAGGGTCCGGAGCATAAAAATAGCTTGGTAAGGGTTGCAACTGCTAGGCTTGTAGTTTGTGCGGTGGTTATCGCTGGTCCCAACGCCATTTTGAATTCGATTGGTAACGATGGTACGAGAAAGAGGGTTATGCTGTGTCTGGTAAAATTCGTTCAAGACAAGTCACCCGATGTGAGGTAAGTGGGACGTTAATCGGGTCGACTTTATATATTTCAGCTTTGTTTCATTTTGGTTTAAGAAAATTCGGAGAGAGATTGTACAAGACGCTGTGTAAAGAGGATAATTTCAATTTTTTCTTGGGACGGCTTGTAGATAGGGACGAACTAAAAACTGTTAAATCAATTTTAAGGCATTATAATAGAAAGTGACAAATGTATTGTACTTGTAAAGAGATTTCATGTAAAATTTGTGACTGCTTATTATATTATTATAAGCATCTACAAAATAAATCGCTCGTTTTAATACGTAACGCAAATTAAAATTGAAAAATTAACATAATTTTATTGGATTCCATAAAATTAACACTTAAATATCACAAAAGATGAATGATCTTCGTCTATTTTCGTAGAAGAATAATCTTAAAATAAAGGTACCATTTTATAATTCGTTAATTATAAACTTTGAAATAAGTTATTGCTAGGACACCATCTCAGGCATGAAGGTCTAGTCAGAGACATGTTAGAGGCAGAAACAGGAGTTAGGAGGGGTAGAGGTAGACCTACATTAGATTACTGTTCGCAAATAGTTAAGGATGTGGGATGTTCTAGTTTTAGGGAAATGCAAAGTTTAGCTCGAGATAGGAAAGAGTGGAGGTACGTGTCCAACCAGTCTTAGGACTGACGACCTTATGATGATGATGATGACAGTTATTGTTTCTTCCAAAGAAAATAATGGAATAAAAAGGTTTAGTTATTTTTAATAATTTATTTTTGTATCAACAAAAGTACATTTATGGATTTTTAATAATAAATTCGATGACACGGTAATATAATAAGTATATATATGTACATGTTTTAATAATAATCACTTAATAATGGTAATATTCTTTTCCATTTTTTT